GGGCCCAGGGCTCTCCTGGGAAAGCTAAGCTTCTTGGAAATGATTTCCAAATCTCCAGACTTTAGGAAGCTTGGTGGAGGCCAAGGCCAGAGTGTGCCCAGAGGACAGTCTGGATTTAGGACCACATTAAGGCAAGTGAAACTTTGAGGATTTAGGGTGGAGAAAGCACACGGTTTTCAGGCTGTGGATGTGCCTCTGGAGAGGGGAGCAGGTTAATGTCGGGGCCCGAGCACGGCCACGTGAAGGATTATGGGGCTGTTTTTGCTGAAGCACAGATGAGTGAACGGAGCACTGGGAGGGCAGGAATATATGGGCAGGCCTGATGTGGCCTCAGGGGACCCTCCCACCCCTGCTCACTTAGAAAGTTCACCCCATTAGAACAAGTCCAGCTGACAGACAGGAGACAGTGCTATCATCCTGAGTGTGACCAACAGGAGTGATTGCTTGGGTCAAGGGCATCCTCGGTTACTGTGAGCACAGGTTGTTGTCTATGGGGTTCCAGTTAGGAGGGGTCCCTGAGGCTCAGATCAGCTGGTAGCAAAGAGATCTGAGGCCCAGAGGTGCTTAGATGTGCCCCCAGATGCAGGTCACCTAAGCTAACAGGTCTTTCCTCACTTTTATGATGCTCCTCTGGGTACCTGGAGGCTCAGCTACCTGGAAGATAACTACTTCAGTCCTTTCTCCACCATGGCTGTTCCTAGTGTATTTTTAGCAGACAGTTTCAGTGCAAATGTGTTGCTCTTGGTTTATTTTTATCAGAATGTTTCAGTGCAAACATGGTCGGGGAGGAAGAATCTATTGTGAGAGGGTCCCAAGAGGCAGCAGGATTAATACACAAATACTGGTCAATAACAGGTTTGCAGAAAAATAAACCAAGATGTGGGCAATTTAGGAGAACTCACGAGACCATTAGAAGTACCTTGAGCAAATCAACAGATACAAGTATTAGATGAGGCCTTGCTTCCATCCTAAGCAGGAAATTTCCATTTTCCAGTTTAAGAAACCAATGTTAGCTATTACCTGCCTCTATAGAGCACGTTGGAAGTAATCTATGAAGCAAAGATGCATTCAGCAAGTGGAAAGTGGACTTAAGAATATGTCAATGGGCCTCCCCGGTGGCGCAGCGGTTGAGCGCTGGGTTGCGAAGCTGCCAGCAGACTCTGCAGTGCCGGTTCGATCCCCGGCTGCTCCCCGGCCACCGGAGGAGGGTCCCACATGGCACGCAGACCTCTCCTGCCGCCCGCTGCTCCCCTCAGCAGTGTACTTCGGTCCTTCTGCCTGCTCTGCTCCCCGCTCTGGCTCTGGTGAATTGTCTCACCCTCCGCGCTTCGGACTGTACCCAGTGCTTGTATAAATAAATAAAAATAAATCTTTAAAAAAAAAAGAATATGTCAAAAAACGGAATGTCCGCATTGGCTTCCTAAAGTCTGGAGATTTGGAAATCATTTCCAAGAAGCTTAGCTTCCCCAGGAGAGCCCTGGGCCCCGACTAGCAGAATAGACACCATTGCAAGGAAGTCAGAAGCACAGGCTGTTTGCCGTTCCCTGCCCTAAGCATCATGAGTATGTCCTGAAAAATATCCCAAATCCCAAGACTCATCATATGTCTAAGGTAAGAGAGGCCATTGAAGATGTCTGGGCTGGCTTGGGCCCTGATTTACCTGTGAAAGAACATTTTACATTCTGAACAGTGTGCCTGCAGTGTCAAGTTCACTGCTTAATCAGAAGAATCCAGCAAATTAATAGGTAATTCTGATGAAATAACGAAACCTCTCTCGGTGGAACATGAATTATGGCCCTGCTGGAGGGAAAGGTGACAATGTGGATTTGTCCAGGAAGGAGAGAGAGAGAGGGAGCTATTTTCAGGGTCAGTGGAGTTTTCGCTCTTCTTCTTCTGCTTTTTTTTTTTTTTTTCACAAGTGAAACAACACAGGAGAGAAGAATGATTTTTCTCTGTGAGCAGAGATCTGAAATGCTTTATGGGTAGGAGAAACTCCACTTTATAATAAAGGATAAACCTGTGACCGGCTCCTTCATTTGCCCTGAGAGGCTACCCCCAGCTATTGCTGTGAGGAAGCGATTAAGATCTGTGGTATTTTGGCAGGTGTCTCTATTGTCCTCTGAAGAGCCAACCACCCTGCTCTCCCTGGCCCTTAGCCCACCCTAGGACCCAGCATCTGGGGATATTTCACTTTTGAGTTTTCTAACATATCCTGAGCATGCACGTGGAGGAGATGGGCCAGACACATGTTTCTCTGGCCTGACAGCAGGAGGGCCCATGAGGCCAGCTCCCTGGCCCACATGAGGGGTAATGCTACGCCTCCACTTGCCAACTCCCGTTCTCTAAATATGCTTCCATGGGTGGGAATACTGCCCCCCTTCTCTTGGCTGATTCTCCTTCTCCTTCGGGCCCTGACTCAGGGGCACCTTCTCCAGGAAGTCACTTCAGAACCACCCCCGTCACAGTAAAAGTAACTTCCAAAGTGCTCCCCCCACACTTTCTCTGTCAAAGCTCTGTTCATGCTGGACAATTCTTCTCTAGTTACTGTTTCCCACACAGGACCTGGAGCACAGAGGAGACAGTGGTTAGTCTTTTATGTGTGGCCCCAGGGTCCAGCAGAGGCACTGGTTCCTGATAGGAATTGCTGCCAATGGGAGCGGGTGACTTGACAGATGAGGGTGTGGTGGGGGTGACTGAAATCCCCTGTAGTAGAGCAGGTCTGGGGTATGTTCCTCCGGGTGTGTTGTTGAGGGTAGTGGGGTGAGATGGGACGAATCCTCTCGGAGATGTTGAAAGTCAAGGAGGTGATAAACAGTGAAATGTGGGGATGAAAACATTTCTTGAAATGCCCCAGCTCCTGCTCCTCCTAAAGAAATTCATGGATGATGTTATTGATGGGATCTTGACATTCTTGCTATCAAGGGGGATGGCTCACATGGAAGAAGAATGTGGAGGAGACAAAAGTCATATTAAATCCACACTAGGGTATGTTCTATGATTCCCACAGAGAATTTCCTGGGGCTGATTTTGCGGAGAACCTCATCAGATATTATTATTTCCCCTTACTTTTAAACTCTCCAAATGATGCATCAGGTTAAAGACCAAGACAACTTTGGTTTCAATAGCCTTCATTTCTTCCTTCCTTGCTTTCCTCTCTTCCACTTTCCTTTTTCCTTCCCTGCTTTTCTTTTCCTTTCTGGGGTTTTTCTAAGGGTGACATAGTGGCTGCAACAGAGGGTCCACAAATATGTATTTGCCTGTGGCTGCTGGTGGCTTGCAGACACCTACAGTCCATGGAGAGGGCCAGTACCAGGCTGGCGAGACGCTGCGCCTCAGACAAACTGGTGTCCGGCCATCTGTGAGTGATTAATCACGCACCCCAACCCATGGACACCCAGAGCAGAAGATTTGTCACTAGTTTGTAGATTCTTAACAACAGAAATTCTGTCTCGTTCATCTTTTCTCCACCACACATCATTTCCAGTAGGTCTTTGATAACGCTTGTTGAATAAATGGACATAGTTCAGAATGGATCAAAGATAGAGTTTAAAATTGCATACTAGTTACAGATGGCAGAGAGGATTCTGGGACATCTTCTACCTCTGAGGGTAGGAGCGAAGCCAAGAGTATCACAGGGCGTGTGCACTGTGACAGGCAGATGGTAAATACACATCCTCAGCAAGAGGATCTGAATTATCACAAACACAAGTTCTTACTAGCTGTGGGTTTTTCATGTTATCTGAACACTGGACCAGGAGTCTCAGAATAACTGGCAAGCTTTCCAGCTAGAGATACCTTTTCTTGGCTTTAAAGTCTTCTGATCCATAGCAAAACTAAAAAATGGACAAGAGTCCCCACCACACACCTTTTTTTCCTAAATCCAATTGAAGTGCCTTTGTGGCATTGGCACTTGCTCAAGAAGCATTTGAATGAATGATTTGGATGTGCAGGCAAGCTGGCAGGGACATCTGTCACAGTGCTGATGGCCAGCGTGGATTTGGCTGGTCCAGCTGGCTGGGAGGTTTTTTCTCGTCTTCCCTCAGTGCCCCTCCTGGGGGAAGGGGCTACTTTGCAAAATGGAGCAAAGTCTTACTTCTGTTTAAGGAGATGTTAAAAGACATTTCCTGGAATGTTTCTTTAGCTGTTTCTAATTGTCTGTTTACCTTCATTTGTATAAATCTCTTACCTGCATTTAATATGTGCTGCCTTCCCAAGGACCAGTCATTCGGAGCCTTGAAAGGCTCCACATTTCCTTATTCCTTACTCCAAATTTCCCAATTTCCTTATCTGGCAGTTTTATCATCCTCCATCCCAGAGTTGCTGGTATTTGAGGTCTCTGCATCAGGGTCCGTTTTTCTGACGGCAGGTTTTTGGCGGAGCTCTCAGTCTCATAAAACAAGGTAATGGTCCTTAGGAAACAATTACTTTAGCTATTGTTTCACAGCAGTTGCCCAAAGAGCTAAGAAAGGACCTAGAGATTTCATTGCAGAGGAGCAGAAGGAAGAACAGCAGCCACAGCAGCAGCAGCCTGTAGATGGCAGGGAAGGTGACTGCTAATTTTACAAGTGCGTGGAGATATTCTGGCACCATCCTAAGACACCAGGGAACTTGCAGTCACTTTGTTGGCCAATTTTTTAATCTCCTAGCATGGAAAAATTCACATAGAAAAAAAACCATTGTACGGTTTTTCAACTTTCTCTAAGGTCAATATTGTATGTGGAATGCTTAATGGGAAATTGCTATAAAAATGGCAGCTAATTACAGGTTAGTGAATAAAGAAACTCTTCTCTGGAGAGCTAGAACATATAGGTTGAAGGATAAAATAAGGCTGAATGGTATTTGATTTCTTTGTGTTTTTCCAAGTCACTGGCCCAGGCAGGAAGGTAATATATGAAAAGGGACATTTTTGAAATAGTTGTTTTTGAATTATGTTCATGAAATACACACTCTGCTATGGAGGACATGTGGGAAAACTACACTCTGACTGCATGACTAATTTTTAAAACCTTGCATAGAGAGAATTCCCCTCAAGAACACAGCTGGGTTAGTCCTCCGTGGACCGAATATGCCAATTATGAACTGAACTAAAATGAAATTTTATTCCATTACGGCAAAGTGAACTCAGGAGTGGACGCTGCAGCTAGGGTATTACGTAGTAGTTCATACACCAAGTACTATTATTTTATTAGCTTTAAGAACATGTTTTACATAAAAACAGGCAACATCAAAAAGCTCAGTTGATAAATGAACATAATATATCACAGATGATTTCATTCCACATTAACCTACATTTATTAGCTTAAACTGAGAGATTAGGGGAAAAATTGGATCTCATTCCAGCTTTAATCATGGATACAAATCATTTGAAAGTTATTTCATTAAGATTCTGAAAATCAATGATTAACCTATGTCATCTGATCCATGCAGCAATTGATAAATTCAGTATTTTCAAAACATTGGATTTTTTTTCTTGTACCAAATTGAAACCTTTTGGAAACTTGTTTAAATGCATCAAGTTCCTAGACCACCTTTTTAGTATGCATGAGCAAAATACTATTTAATTTCACACTCAACTAATCCTTTAATAATTTTCTTTCAGCCAGAATGAAAAAGGCTATTATTAATTTCCTAATAAAATTAAAAAAAATAGTTATCAAGGATATGACTCTAACCTTGGACCAGTTTCAATTTCCTTTTATTTTTTCTGAGAATACATCAAAGATTAATGTCATTGGCAAGTGAGAAATTGTCCCTAGAGAACTATTCAAGGTCTTTTTCTTACCACATTCGATTGGACTGGAATGAATTGACATTATAGCATCTTTATCATCACCTTTTAAATCCTACTTTCTTTTTACTGACAGTGAAGGCTTTTAGAACTATTATTTACTTTAAATTAATAAAGTATATCACAGACAAAAATATACAATTTTACATTAAAGCAACATTAAGGGTCTCACTTCAGTTAACCAGAAAAGAATGTTGAGGAAATTTACAGGTATCGTTTAATTGTAGAGCGCTCTTCCTTTTAGGGAAAAAGAATGAAACTAGATCTCTCACTTGTCTCTAAGGGTAAGATATTGCAAACCTCATGATCAAAACACCTGCCAGTTAGAAGCTCACTCACTGAAAAATGATCACGGCAGCTTCAGTGTTGAAGTCCAACAACAACAACAAAAAACCAAAGGGGAAAAAAAAACACCCAACCAGAGGCATTCTAAGCCTCTACATTGAATTTCCTGTTTCCCACCAGTTTACGACCCTTAAAGTTACTGGATGGATGGATGGATGCATATTTGCGATGATTAAAAAATAAAAGACTGGCTTAAAAGCACCTCCTTCTCAAGTATGTAATTACATACAAATTAAAGATTCCTTCTGACAGTCCTAGGGATCCCATTTGTTACTGTTTCATGTATAAGCACCATTGAGCCAATTTTTAAAGCACATTTGCAGCGATCAAATGTTTAATGTGTCTTCAAGTTTTTGTTGCTGTATTTACTTTTAAATGAACAAGGACAGCAAGTATGATATTTTATGGTCTACTTATCACATCTGTATCAATAAAAATATTAATTTTGGAAGTGCTTTTAATCATTATTTTCCCCAACAGACTAGAATGGTTTCATGAAACTTGGTGATTATAAAAAGAAATCCATATCTCCCAAAGAAGTATATATTCGACCCTTTGTCACTGCATGCAAAGTAAGGGTCTGAGAGTATATTTCTCCAACTCTTAATGGAAATGGCAGACAACACAGAGGAAAGGCTAACCTTTGAACTGACCAACTTCAAGTTTTGTTTTTTTTTTTTAAACTTTGAACCAAAAAAAAGTCATGTAGCAGTTTAAAAGGTGAATGATTTACAAATTATGCTGGGGGATTTAATTTTTTTTTTTCAAAACCCATATTCAATTGAATAAGTACAATAAAACTGTCATCTTGAATCTCGGTGCCTTCCAAAATTCTGCAAGTACAATGAAGGACAGAACAGACCAGATTTTTTTGTTGTTGTTGTCCTTTTCTGGACAGAACTGGACAGAGAAAAAAAGGAAGTGAACCTTTATTCTTGGTGCAGGCCCTATATTGCAACCTTCAGCCTGAGGCATGGCTTTTAATGGTCAAATTAAAAACCTTTGAAAATAGAAGTTTATCATGGAAATGCTGACAGAGTCTTACCCAGGGAAGGGCTAGCAGGCAGTGGCAGTAACATGAAGAAAGCTCTCCCAGAAGCACAATCTCCAAGTGGGGGCAGAGGAGATAGAGTTGTATAGTGGATGCCCTTGGCCAGCAAACACTGTGATTTAATGTGCGTGAGTCTTGGTCATATAGTAGCTCCGTGACCCAAAGCTAACCAATTTTTCTTCTTTATTTTTTTTCCAACTGAAATATGCCTCAAAGGGTAAAGGATTGCAATTTTAGCCTCCGTTCATGGATATATTGCTTTCTTTCAACAATATCTGATGGGCCTGTTAACCACTACCCATGGGGGTGCTAAGCAGGTTGCAGGAAGGTCTCATTGAATACAAAACACCAAGGGTTTTCAGTAGTTTATTTGCATTTTTTTCCTCTGCTTATTTTAATATGCACCACGTGTAAGTTAGATGAGGGCTACGGTAGAAAAATTCTCAATGACTGAAATCTTACTCTTCCTTCTAACGATCTGGAGCAAATCACATACCCATTGATTATGATGAATAAAATGGTTTCTGCTACAATGTCAAGAAAAAAATGTGTTCATCAATATGAACAGTTCTCATCTACAGAGATGATTTACACAATGCAAGTAATGAAGGAGTTCTTCCTTAACTAGTCTACTACTGAACTGAAAAGATGAATCTTAAAATTCCCTTGAAAATACCCTATGGTTGGTCATGTATCAGTAAAGGAAAGACAGTCCCCATCACCAGGCCACCACCATAAGAGCTATATTAAATACTTAGGAAAAAATATGGAAACACTTGTGGCAATGATTAAATTGATAATTACAGAGATACACTGCCATAATGGTACATATTTGTTCTATGATAAAGCAAAATAAAAAATAAGATCAATTTGGTTATAGAAATTCCTTAAAGAACACCACCACTTAATTATTTCATACTCGAACTATCCCAAGAATGTCATGAAAAAAATCAGAAAGCACTGGCTAAAAGCAAAGCAGTCTGGATACACCAACGTAATCAGCATGCCTTGTGCTTGTCTGTTAACCCTCTGAGTACATCCCTGACATTCAGGATCTCAGTAGTTTAATGCTGAAAAGATTGCATTCCATCTGATTACTCCATATTTCTACTTGACAGGTCACATTCCACTGTTTATTCAGCATAGATCACTCACATTCTACAGCAATGCCCTGGGATCCCCATGCTGAATGGGCCCTGCATTCTGCTGAGCTGCCCCTTCTGCAGTGTGCTGGGAAATACCCTGTGGCTTCATCCAGTTCAGAGTCTCCCAAAGATGGGCTGGAAAGAGGCCTAAACTGTGCACCGGAGATTCTGTACACTAGATGCTGTAGCAAAACATGTAATACCCACACGAAAATCAATTGTTCAGAGAAAGAAAGGAAAATGGCAATCTACTGCAGGTAGATCTCTGCACATGAGAGTCTTTATGTTCACAGATTTAGAGTTGAGGCTCAGCTACATACTTACTCCTTAGTCTTAGAATAGTGCTTTGCTTTATAATTCTAGAGAAACTAGCAATTTCTGAGCAGTTCGGAATGTTTTATAAATATGGGATCTACCTACACACCAACACCCTTCCTGGTATACTGCTCTCCTTCCCCCAAATAGCCAACTGACTTGCTGCTTTGGGATATTGTGTGATGTCATCAGAACTCCCTAAAAGGGGGAAAATAATAAATAATCAATTGTTTACATGTCAGGACAAGCATTTTCAGAAGTTTATCCACATTTTTTCCTCTGTTTATTTTAAATGCACCATCTGTGTGCTGGATGAGGTAAACCTAAATGTGGAAGAGCAAATGGCTGGGGAGACTACATTGCAAAAGTGCTGACATGTTGTGATTTTTAAATCTATATTACTCTAGACCGTAGTTTATGAGTTGAAGAGTAAAAAGGAGAAATTGAGGATCAAAGTGTATTTGAAAATAAAGAACTGACTATAGAAATGTCATATACAAGTTTCTAGATTTTCAGATATTGAAGTATATTCAAGATAGACACAATAAGTGCTGTTCGGTCCTCCAGATGCAAATTTTCTGAGACATTACTCACTGCTTGTCTCTTGGATCACAGAGCTTTGGAAACCTTAGGAGGATATCTGAGTTGAAGTTCTATCTCCAGGACACCACGGCTAGCCTCCTCTTGAAAATCTGCAGTAACATGCAGAAAGTGGCAGGTGCCCTTTTGAAACACAACATATTCCAAAAAATAACTCACCAGAGACACAGGGCTAGGGAGAAAAGATTTGGTAATAGGAGTGAAAATAAAGGTTTCAGATAGGATTTGGCCCAAAGTTAGAAAAACAACATGTCTCTCTGGACAGCTCAAGATAGTTGGTATAAAAAAAAAAGTCATTCTCGGGAATGAACCCTTTACCCTTACGGGTATCTTCTAGGTCTCCCATCCTTCTCCTCTCTCTGGGATGCTCTATATAGGTAACGTAGGGGTGCACATGAATAGTCTTGACAGTGGTTTATATCCTTAAAACCATTTCTAGAACATTCTAGATTGTTTCCCCACTGTGGTTTCTCTTTAGTCACTTTGCAAAGCACTTGCCTCCAGCCCTCTTTGCCTCAGAGCTCCTATGTATGGATGTTATACTCTATATGGAATTGACACTAAAGACTGCAGTGCATGAAAAAGTCGGTGAGTAAAAGAACAGGATCTGGTTTCCTCTTTCTGTTTGAAATCCCAGCCCTAGAGAGCACCTGGCAATTTATTGCTCTTTTCCACTGGTTGTTTCTTTTTGTAGATTCTCAACCTGAGCAGGCAGACCCTCACTCACCAAGCACAAGACAAGGAATGGTGACTTTCCGAGGTTCTGTGTTGGCACTAGCAGCAGCTGATATGGAAGCAGCATTTCTGGGGCATCATCAGCACATCTTCCTATGGAGACAATTTTTTGGTGGAGGGGCACCACCTATGTCCTGGGTCAGGCTGTTTGCCACAAACCCAGTTCCCTCCACTCGGGATGCAGAACTGGGCAGTTGATAGTCATTTTCTCATTTTACAAAGTCCCTTTCTTAATAGAATTGTGAAGAAAGAGGGGTGATATGCCTACTTGATAAACCTGCCATGTACTAAATCCACGCAAAAGGACAACCAAAAAATCATTCTAGATGCCCATCTTGTCTGGACATCTCAGCACCTAATAACATGCCTTGATCTGCAGCAAAATCAAGAAGCATGTGCTATACAGCCTGACAAGTTCCCCACGGCTTCTCCATAAAATTCTATGCACTCAGAGGGTTAACATGTGCTATATTACATACTGCAGACCCTAGCTTGACTGATGAAAACATTCATTGCTTCTATGTTTAAAAAAAGTTGCAAATTAGCTTTAACCCTTTGAGGACCCTATTAGCAGCAACTTGCCATCTTGACAAACAATAAGTCATCTCATTCAGCAAAGGGAAATTGCTACAAAGATACCAGAAAACACACCTTCTGTTCTGCCATTCAAGCATTGAGTGCTAGGTGGATCAGATGAAACCGTTTTACATAAATTTTGGGGGACAAAAATCTCAGAGTCTCAAAGGGTTAAGCTAGGACTTCGAGTAAAAGGGTCTTATTAAAAGGGTGAGTTGGGGGAGCGAACAGTCTCGGATGAGCTTGGGGAGTAGTCTTCCGATTCCGAGTTGAGTTCAGGTGGAGCTGGCTGTGCTTTGTACCGGCTCCTCACATCCTGGTTGCGTCTTCGTCGGAAAACCTGCCTCTCCTTATCAAGAGCGGTGGTCTAGCAGGGGCATAAAATGAGAAAGAGGACAATTAGGCTGAAGGAAATGGCAAAAGAAATTTTTTCTGGAACTTTCTGAGGTCAGAAAATATGCTGGCCAAGTTAGACTATCATGATGGCTCATTTTTGTTGACAATAATCTCTCCACAGTTGGGGGGCTCTCTGCTCCCCCAGATGCAGCTCCTATGAACCCCTGGTCATGACATCAACAGGCACAGGCAGGATGGATGATGTTGTGGGTTCAACCTCTCCTCAGCCTCACCCAGGCTGCCTTATCTCCACATCTATTATCCTTAGCTGCCCTCAGGCTAGCTGGAGAACCCCTGGTAAATGGGACCCCCAGCCCTGTGGGTCTGACACATGGGGATGCTGGGCATGCCTCCTTCATCAATATTCAGCTCAGGGCAGCTGTATAATAAAGATGAAAGGTGATGAAGTTGTCAGACATAGAAACAGAGCCACAAGCTCATCCTGTTATTTTAGCACCTCCTCATTCTAAATTATCTTATTATCTGTTGATGAGGGCATGTGGCTGAATCTCTGAGAAGGATTGGTTTAATTTTAATGAAACCAATGCCTGAAATTGAAAACTGCTTTGAATGCAATTAAGCCAAATGGAAACCTTCCCATGTATTTTACTCCACAAAGTTCATTTTCATCATAGTATGTGGTAATTTATGGAACTGAGATTCAATTTTGTTAGTACTCTAATTCCTGGTTCCTAAGTCTCATTTTCCTGAGGAAACCTCAGATGATCTTCAAGATGTGCTATCCAGCCATAGCTCTGGAAGTTATTATGACATCAGAATTAGGAGCGGCATGACTTCACTATCGACTTAATTGGGGTGTGTGTGTATGTGTTGGGGGTGGGAGCAATGGGTCATTACAGAAAAACCTTATATAGAGAGCAGAAGAGCAGGTAGAAAGCTTGAAGAAAGATATAGAACACACATAAAAGTTGAAGGAGTCCTTGTTTGAAATTTCCTCTTTAAAAGGACGTAGCCTGGAGGTTATTCTGCTTTTAAAAGATTACTTTTCCTCTGCAGGATACAGACCACCATTTTTACACTTGAAAATTTACTGTTAGCTTCTTCAAAGAACAGGGGTAAATTTATAGCCAGCCTGCTTCTAAGAACAGAGTGAAACTAAGCTCCTCATACATTGCATTAGAGCAATCTTAGATCTAAAATAGGGCAATCAAAGACCCAAAATGAAGTAATAAAGAGAGAAAGAGAGACTGTGTAGAACTAGCACAATAAATGGCTTCGTTAGGCTGAGCTGTTCTACTTTAAAAACTATCCACGCACTGAATAACAGTGTTAGAAATCAATGAGGAAGATAAACCTTAATAATTCACTTCTCGTTTCACTAGATTGTTAATGCAGTGATTCAATAATAACTGGTTTGCTGAAATGTCTACCTTTAATTCTTCTACTTGTCAAATTTTTAAGGACCCTCACATGTAGACTTCTTGGTCATATAGCCACCGATTTATATTTTTAGCATCATAAGCCCAAATTCCTAACTTTATTTAAAACATTGTAAAGTTACAACATATGGTATTTTGCTTTCAAAGCAAACTGAAAAATGTTCTGTTTGGGTAGAGTTGAATGTTTGTAAAAAACAGACGTCTATTTAGTCTGACTTACATAAAAACCATTCTGTCATTAATCCCAGAGTAATATAAACTCTTTTTATGGTCATCAACAGTATTTCTAGTTCTACCTTCCTGAGAAAGAAAAAGGCCATGGGCGCTCCACTGCGCACTGACTAGTGAGCTGAGGCTTTCTGGCTCGGGGAGGAAAAGGCTGTTGGGAACTTGGGTTCCTCCTGCATCCATCGCTGCCCGTGTGGAAGATTTTCTCCGTTCTCATCTACTAAGTAAGCAGTGTGAGTAATTCCTTCCACCCTCCCAGAGTTGGATGGGTAAACACTTTCAAAATGGCTAATACTCCCAGAAATTGAAGGTGTTTTTCTGTTTATAATTTGATGTAAGATACAATTTTAAAATTAGGTAATTGCACGTCAGAGGAAAACAGTGAAACAAAGGTCACGTCAGAAATTATCTCAGAATCCTTTCCTCCTTCACTTGCACTGGCACCTTCTCCGTATTTACCTCATCTCCCCATCGACTCAGTTACTCCAAGCCTTGCTCTTGGCTGCAGTCACTGAAATAGGCATTTTCCACAAATCCTGGACACCCCGTTAGCAGCGGGTGGTGACACTCAGGGCCTAGCCCGTGCTTAGAGTCCTCTCATTTTGCTTTCCTCCCTTCAGATCCTTACAAGAACAAATATTTTTTCTTCCTTACTTGTCCCTCTGCCTAGAGAGCCTTTGCCCTGAACGGTGACGTGATCAGTCCTCACTACTCATGCCACTTTCCCCAGTAAGCAGCTTTCAAAGCGTTCACCTTTGCAGATGAACCCTCACGCTCCAACGCTCCCGCGCTTTCGGCTGTGCCAATTCGCTACTAATCATACCAGTTATTTTTGGAAAAGTATCATGTCATAATCTCACGTCATGGAATAAGGTGTTTTGGTTGTTTCTGTTGGATTTATCGTCTCTTAGCATTGAAATCAAATTTATAAAACATCTTTGTTCAATGTTCTGCCTTTCCAGGCAAGGAAACTGAGGCCAGACACGTGGAGAGATCCACCCTCATCACATCGCTAACTAGTAAAAGAATTCACTTCTCCTCTGGCATAAAGCCAAAACAATTTCTTCCCATTTGCTCTGAAATCTGTTGAAACGGAGTGAAATGCAGCCATTGTACTCCAGAAGTTCACTCCTTTTCCACCCCAGTGAGCGAGCTGGGCAGGCAGCACTGATCATGGGCAGCAATAAAGGCCCAAAGCACAGGGCTTTCCCATGCTGAGGACCTGAGAAACCTCTCTCCGGGACCACAAGCTGGGGTCCACTGTGAGGATACTCCCATTCTGGGGCTGTAAACTCCTAAGGAGACCTGGGCCTGGTGGCAGGAAAGCTGGTTTCTGCCCACCCAGGGTCTTGAAATAATCTCAGAGCGCTCCCAATGGACTTGAGCTCAAAGAAGCCCCAGAGTCCTTTCTTCCTTGGTCTTCCGATCTCTGGGCTTCCTGCCCCACAGACTGTGGTTCTTTTTAGGAACTTCTTCCCCACGTTCTCATGAAATCTAGTACAGCCTTCACTGTACACCCTGTCTACACCATATGTGAGGAAGGCATCATTTTTTCTTGCCATGCTGTGGATTCTTTGGAGGGCAAGATCAGGCCTTGCACATCCTCTCTGTGTTCGCCACAGCTCACAGCACACGATAGATACTCTACCAACACTGTGGATTTTGAAATATGGGAAAGTACAACAGAGGTCACGTTATTTCCCTCTTGAGCACCCAACCCCTGGGACAGCCTTCACACAACTGACAGGTCAATTATCCCCAGGTCCTATTTATTTACAATTACTCATGAAGTCCAATTCCTGGTCTTAGCATTCACAATGTGCTTACAATAAAAATTTTCCAGTGCCTAGTTCCTATGATTATCCAAAATGATCCTGTGACAACACCAGACTCATTGTTAGTACTGTTAGCGAACATTTGAATTCCTTGCACAGTGTGTATTCACTTAAGTTTATTGTTAACCTCAGTTTCCCTTAGACATTCCCTGCTCCTGTACTATGTGGTTCCAGGGAAGAGGACCACACCCCCATCTCTGAGAGTTGTGTGGGGTTCAGCTCATACCCAGAGCAAGGCTGAGCTTATTGCATTCCCCATAACCACAGCTGGTTCAAGAACAGTTCTGACCCAGTTACTAGACACGCGGAGCCTCTGCTGGGACTTGCATATTTACAGTGAATCCTCCTTTTGACCGAATGAGAGACTTGGAGCTGCATCCCACATCCTGTGAAGCTGCAGACTAAAGCCAACACAGCGAGTCAGAGTAGAGGATTGGGAAGAAATCATACCCTGAGTGCTTAATCCATCCACTGGTGAAGACAGACTCAACCTTACTGCTTTTCTGATAACATAAAATAACAAATTTCCTTTTTGCTTAATGAGTTTGGTTTGGGTTTTCTTCCTGTGCAGTCAAAACAGTCTACCTAACATATCTCGAAATGGACCCTAGCTATTATTCTCACCTCTGTATCTTGGCTCAAGGCTCACCAACCTGAAATTTCTTCTCTTCTTCTCTGCCCAAGCAAATTGACCTACTTTCCAAGGTTTAATCAAATTTCAACTTTTTTTTTGTTCTTTCAAATTCCTTTCTTCTTTCTTTCTTTCTAAATTTCTCAATCAAGTTCCTCAACTAAATTTTTGGTGCTTATTGCCTGTTGACTTCCTCTTTTCTGTGCCTATTTCCTGGATATCATGCAAACTCCTCTATGATAGAATCTAAAGCTATTTTTTTTTTCCATTTTCCAAAATGCCTTGCAGACTGTGGATCATATACACGTATTAGGGATGCATTACATATCTTTAATTAATACAGAATTAATTTTAAAAGACTATGTACTTTCTGAAACAAAAAATAGAGCCTAAAGCAACTCTATAATCCAAAAGAAGAAGTTAGAAGTATTATAATCAATACTTAAGAATATGATTTATGTTTCACATATGACCAGATGCTTACATCCGATAAACTTAGTGTTCTTCTAGACTCATAAACGTATTTACTCAACAATCATATATTGTAGTTCAATTTCTTATCCTAGTAAGCATTGTCATATATGATAACTTTAGAATTTTTAATTGTGGTTATAAAATTAACCTGCCTCTTAACATGCACAGTTAAAATTTTACAGTAGAATTCTGGAGGGCCTGTATATACTTCAGGACAGACAGATTCAGCAAGGAAAAAGAACAATATGCCAATACATAATTTTAAAAAGTATCACAATAAAAAAAAAACCTGATAATTTTTGCCAACCTCCATTCATTCAAAAAATATATTTTCTTTTGAAGTGCTACATTACAAATTTAAATTCCGGGCCTTTTCTACTATTTCTGAAAGACTACTCAACTC